AGAGCATTCTAGGTATATGGTACCAACTGTGCAAAGATATGGGGGAGGTGAGGGGAGAGATGGAATGTTATGTATAAAAAAATCGCTGTTTGACTAAAATGTAGATTGTATGAGGGGGAGTAATGTGAATTCAGCCTTGAAATATAGATTGGAGCCAGATTGTGAGGGGCTTTCAGTGTCAAAGAGATGATGATGAAAATAGAACCTCCAAATCCAGGAGTGGGAAGGACCTCCAGGGCCAGCTAGTTCCATCTTGCACCTGAACAGGGATCTCTTATTCAACTTCCTCCACAAGTCACTGTCCGGACTCCAGGTTTTAGGAGAGATCATCTCGGTTAATCCCCACTGAAACCGAGCACAGATAGTCCAGTTGGCTGATGTCTTTCCTAAAGTTTAGGAGTAATAGAGTGCTTGATGACTTGATTCAGGAGAGATCTGGGTTTGAATCCGCTTGCAACATTTACCAGCTGTTTGAGTTCAGGCAAATAACTTAGCCTCAGTTTCTTCATCTGTCAAATGCAGATAATAACAGCACCTAGCTCACAGGGCTGTTGGGAGGAACAAATAAGATGATATATGGTAGACTATAAACCACTATATAAATGTCACTATTATTATAAGTCTCCTTTTCCAGGGCTGAGAGAAGCCAAGAGACTAAAGCCAAGGACCAGGCAGGAATGGATATAAGACAGGAGCAGGGAGGCCAGAGTGCAAATGCAATAATAATGGAAGAAGTGCGATTGAAGCCAAAAGTTCAGAAAACCAAGAGTCACTCAAAAGTGTTCCTGAAGCCTGAGCTAGTCCTAAAGAATAAGGCAGTTCATCTTATGGTGAAATGGCTTGCCCAAGGTCTGGATGTCCTAGGCATCACATGCCCTTCCTAAAGAGAATGCTTCTCTTGCAGTGGGCAGTCTAGAACCAGGTTCAGTGGAAACATCTACTAGGTTCTAGATACTCTTCCCCTCTACTGCTTGGTACTGGTCTGATCAAGAGCAAATCACTTAACTACTCTGGCCCCTAGTTTGCTCCTATGTAAAATAAGGGGATTGGAATTGATGACTTCTGAGATCTCTTCCAGCTCTAAATTGATAAAATGGTGAAGCCATCTAATTAATTAGCCCATGCTTTCTAGGAATGGTAGTGTTGAATTGATTATTATTCCTAGAACTAGAAGTAGAAAGCTTGAGGGGTTGCAGTGGGAAGGGGGATCATGTGAGGCTGGGCAGGAAGATGGCTGGAGTGCAGCATTGTGGGTCTGGGTCTGCCTTGATTTGTTGAATTCTCTGCAATCAGGAAAGCATAGCCCTAGCGGGGAATTGATGAACCCAGTGGGAGGCAGAGAGTAGAACCCAGCAGACCTGGGTCTCTACAGGGCCTGGAGATAGAAGAGGCTTGCAAGAGAGTCCTGGGTTCTGTGCATGGTGACCCATGCCTGTAGGTCCTGCTTCTGGGGAGGTTGAGGCTGGTTGGATTGGGGAACTCTGAATGACAGTAGATTAAGCCAATCAGATCCATACTAAGTCTGGCACCAATATGGCGAGCTCCTGGGAATGGGGGGAGCTACCAGGCTGCTTAAGGAGGAAACGAATCGGCCAAGGTCAGAAATGGAGTAGGTCAAAGCTTCTGGGACAATCAGCAGTGTGATTGGGCCCACGAGTAGCCATTATGCTTCCAGACTTAGGAGGTAGGTAGAGAGAGGGACAGAGAGACAGATAGGGAGAGCTAGAGACAGACACATACAGGCAGACACACAGACACATACAGAGAGACAGAGACAGAGAGACAGAGAGATAGATAGAGAAAGAGAGAGAGAGAGAGAGAGAGAGAGAGAGAGAGAGAGAGAGAGAGAGAGAGAGAGAGCGCCTGAGATGCTCTAGGAGGCTGACAGCATTGGAACTAGACAGTAGTTAGGAATCTGATCTACGTAGGATCAAATGGCCTATACATGATTGGGAGAATAGCACGTAATGAGAGTGAGTACACTATGTGCATGGGAAGAAGCTGAATGAGGTTGGGAGGAATAGTACAATGACATTAGCTGTAGCTTCTGTTGTCCAGTCATCTCTGATTCTTCTTTGTTTTCTTGGCAAAGACACTGGAGTGTTTCTAATAAATAGTGAACTATTTCCTTCCTCAACTCATTTACGGATGAAGAGACTGAGGCAACCAGAGTGAAGGGACTTGCCCAGGATCACACAGTTACTAAGTGTCTGAAGCCAAATTTGAACTCAGGAAGATGAGTCTTTCTGATGCCAGGCCCAGCACTCTGTGCTCTATGCTGCCACCTAGCTGCTATAACTAAGGCAAAGCATTGGTGCTTTTTCCCTGGGGCCCAGAGTGTTGTAAATAACTGGGGGCATGATTCCTCCTCACAGTGGCCTTCAGCCAGCTCTTCCTTTGCTTTGTGGATTTCTGCTGCCTCAGTGCTTTGCTTTCCCTCCTCTGGCCCAGACTACTCCCCTTAAGGGGTGTGGGGAAGGAGGCATGGCTTGTTGTCAGAGACAAGCAGGAATTCTGGGAGTCAGGGCCTGCACACGACTTGGGCAGATGGTCTCCCTCCTCCCCCTTCAGATGAATTTGGCTTGCTTGCTAGAATTCCAAGTTACAGCTGTAGCTGAAATCCAGGATTGGGGTCTGTATCTCTCCTTGAATTGCTATTGTGATGAGTAAGGCGTGTTCACATTCCACAAATCACAGGTGTCTGTGTTAGTCTGAGTTGTGGTTCATGCCACTCCAGAGCCCACACAACATGCACAAAAATTGGGGGAATAAGTGAAGAAGAAAACAATTTTCAGAGTCAGCCTAGAGTTGCCATTCTGAATTATCCTAGATAGTCAACTAATATGAATTCTGTACATGCTGTGTTCCAGGCAGTGTAATAAATGCTGGGAATATAAAGGCAAAAGAATCCCTGTTCTCAATGAACTCAGCCTAATGGGTGGAGATAATGTGAAAGTAACAAACAAGACATATACAAGATAAATTGGGGGTACTCTGACAGGGAAGGCATTAAGATTTAGGAGGATTGGGGAAAGCTTCTTGCAGAAGGTAGGGCTTTGGCTGAGACTTTGGGGAAGCCAGGAGACAGAGATGAGGAAGGAGAGAAATCTAGGCATGGGGGACAGTCAGTGAAAATGCTTGTAGTTGGGAGTTGGAGGGTTGTTGTATTTAAGGAACTACAAAGAGGCTGATGTCACTGGATGGAAGAGTGCAGTGGGCTGTGAGGTCCAAGACAATTGGAAAGATAAAAAGGGACCGGATTATAAAGGGTTATGAAAACCAGTAGATTTTCTATTTGATCCTGGAGGTAATAAGGAAAAGGTAGAGTTGATTCAATAGGAGATGATATGGTTAGACCTGCATTTTATTTTATTTTATTTTTTGCTTTTTTTGGTGAAGCAATCAGGTTAAGTGACTTGCCCAGGGTCACATAGCTAGTAAGTGTTAAGTATCTGAGGCTGGATTTGAACTCAGGTCCTCCTGACTCCAAGGCCAGAGCTCTATCCACTGTGCCACCTAGCTGCCCCTAGACCTGCATTTTAGCAAGAGCATTTTGGCAGCTGTGTGAAGGATGAATTGGAGAGGTGAAGACCTTAGGAGACAGGCAGAGAGACCAAACAGTAGGCTATCTCACTAGTGCAGGTGTGAGGTGATAAGGGCCCAAATTAGGGTGGTTGTGACATTTAAAAAGATTCAAGAGACATAGTTCCTGAGTGATCTAATCCTTTTATTAATAAGGCCAGAAGGTTATTAACAAAAGGATGATCATTTGGTTGTCTCTGTTAGACCAAAGACAATCTTGGCTGTGGACTCATACTTTATATACCCTTCAAAACAATTGTGGTCCATCAGACAGCAATCCAATCTAATTGGTTAATGTGATTGGAGGTGGTCTATGTTAAAATGAAGGGCTGAGTATCTCTTGGATAGGGAAAATATATCTATACCAGACCTCTCCCAGCTATACCAGACCATTCCCAACCTAGGTCTATCTAGACAAAAGGATCTATCTCCACCACAATGGGGCCATCTCCAGTCATCCTGATCTATATCTTGCCACTGGACCCAGATGGCTCCAGAGGATAAAGTGAGGCTGGTGACTTTGCACAGCCCTCCCTCACTTAAATCTAATTCATTTGTAAGTCATGGCATCATCTTCCTGATGTCACTGTCCTCCTCAAGAATGAAGGACAAAAAAACCCAACCCCCCCAAACCCCCCCCCAAACAAACAAACAAAAAAAGAATGAAGGACAAACAACAAGAATACAATGGGTTTCCTCATCCTAGATTAAATTCCTTGCAAGGTTGGGTAGGGTCTGACCAAGATTGAGGAGTGTCAATGCAATCTCATTATCAGTAATGTCCTTCAGACTGAACTTTTAAAGGACTTTAGAAGAAAGGGAGAGTTCTGAATCTCCCCCCAAATTACTGGTTATTAATAATCATTCCTCACATGTTTAGTGTCAAAGGAGAGAAGGAGGCATATGCTAGAGATGTTACCAAGGTAGAGATGATAGGACCTGACAACTGGATCTGAGGGGTGAGAGAGAGTAAGGAGATTTCAAGCCTGGATGATTGGGAAGATAATGGTGCCCTCGGTAGTAGTTTAATTTGGGAAGAAGAGAGAGTTTCAAGGGAAAGAATCAAGCTTACTCTTGATTTTCTACCTACTAGGAAAGCAAGATCCAAATGGTGGGCATGTAGAACCTAATATTAGGGCCTGAGGAAGGTACTTGTAGTCATTTTCATGGGAGACCTGTTCTCATTTAGATCAACTTTCCTCCCTCCCTTCCTCCATCCCTCCCTCTTTCCCTTCCCTTCCCTTCCTCCCCTTCCTTCCTTCCTTCCTTCCTTCCTTCCTTCCTTCCTTCCTTCCTTCCTTCCTTCCTTCCTTCCTTCCTTCCTTCCTTCCTTCCTTCCTCTCAAAGACCAAAGAAGAGAAAGGACTACTGCTTGAGGTGAATGGGACTGTAAAAACTGACACCAGAGAGAAAGCAGAGCTGTTCAATTTTTCTTTTGTTTCTCTTTTCTCAGTCAGACAAAATGACATTTTCACTGAAAATGGCTACAGAGAGCATCAAAGATCAATAAGGAGATAGTAAGACAGTTGCTGGTTGCCCTTGATGGATTCAGGTCATCTGGCCCCAGTGAACTATACTTTGGGTACTGAAAGAACTGGTGAATGTAATTACTAAACTAAACCAGTACCAGTGATACTTGACAGATTGTGGCAGTTGTGAGAGGTACTGTAAGACTGAGACAGACAAATATTGGCTTGCTTTTCAGAGAAGAGAAGAAAAGAAATTCTGCAAGTTATAGCTCAATGAACTTGACTTTGATACTTGGAGTTCTAGAGCAAATCATTAAGGAGAGGGTTGGTGAACACCTAGAAAAGAAAAGAAATAGTTACAAAGAGCTTCCATGACTTCATCAAGAACAGGCCATGCCAGACTAACTTTATTTCTTTTTTGACAGTTGCTAAATTAGTAAATCAGGGGAATGCTATAGATATAGTTTACCTAGATTTTAATAACGCATTTGATAAATACTATTTTTGTAAAAAAATAAAAAAGATGGAGCGATAGGGTCTATACTATAATGCAATTAGATAGATTCAGAACTGATTGGTAGGATTCGAAAAGTGGTCATTTATGGTTTAATGTTGACTCTGTAGCAGGCCTCCAGTGAGTGTCCTAGGGTTTTATACTTGGACCTGTGCTGTTTAACCTTTATAACAGTGATTTGGAGAAAGGTATGAATGGAAAATTTATCAGTTTTGCAATGACACAAAGATGGGTGGGATGGAGAATGCACTGAATGACAGACTCTAAGAAAATGAAATTCAATAAAGATAAATGTAAATGTTGTACACTTGGGTTCAAGTAATCAGCTTTCAATAGTATAGGGTAAAGGAGGCATGATTAAAGAGCAGTTTGTCTGAAAAATCCCTTGAGATTTCAGGGGATGATAATCAGTCAACTAGTTAGTCAAGTAGCATTTATTAAGTACCTACTATGTGTCTGGCACTATGGTATGACTCTAGGCTGCATTAAGAGAAGCGTAGTTTCCAGGCATTAGGAAATGACAATCCATATTATTTCCTGGTCAGCTTGAATCTGGAAAATTGTGTTGAGTTCTAGAGACAGTGGTTTATGAATGACATTGATCAGTTGAAAAACATCCAGAGGAAGGAACCAGGAATGTAAAAGTACTTTGAATTCATGTCTAATGTAGGCTGGTTATAGGAATGGGGGTGGGGGAGGGATGCTTAACTTGGCAAAGAGAAGGATCAGAGGGAATATGACAACTCTGCTCAAGTATTTGAAGGAATCCTGTCACATAGAGGAAGGAGGAAATTTGCTTTATTTGGCCCCAGAGTGTAGAACCAAGAGTAATGGATGGGATAGCAAAGATGGAACCATTGGTTATAGCAATGGAGAAATTTTGAATGATGTGGATAAAATCACTTACCTTGGCAGTATAATTTCCACTAAAGCAGAGTAGACTACTTTGGGAATTAGTGGGTTCCCTTTCCTTGGTCCTCTTCAGGTAGAGGGCACTTGTTGGGTATTTTATGTTAGGGATACCTTTTTGGGAATAGGTTGGACAAGATGTCCACTAAGGTCCCTTTCATGAAATCCTTCCCTTCCTATAAAACAGGGCTCAACACATGAAGCCTTTCTTGATCCCCACCCAAATGTTAGTGTCCTCTCTCCCTCTCTAACCTCCTTGTGTTAAATTATTTGCATTTACTTGTGTTTATTCTCTTCATATGTGTCTTCTCTCTCTCTCTCTCTCTCTCTCTCTCTCTCTCTCTCTCTCTCTCTCTCTCTCTCATATACATATCTATCCATCCATATATATATATATATATATATATATATATACACACATATATATATATATATATATATAATATATATATACATATATATATGCATTTGTCTCCCCCATTACAACGCAAGCTCTTCAAGAGTGGGGATTGTTTCATGCTTTTTACAGTACTTAGAGCTTAATAAATGCTTGTTAATTGATTCCAACTCTAAAATTCTGAGGTTGATTCTGAATTCTGTGAAGTCACCCTCTCAGAGGCCCAGTTTCTTTCTGTGAAACAGTTGTGTTATCTGGGGTACCTCTTATCTCAAAGGTGAAGACCCCAGAAAAACTACTCCAGGTTTGAAGTATTCTGTGAGTCTATATCTATTCAAAACAAAACAAAACAAAATATAACTCAAAAGGCCACATAGATGTGTTTACTTTTACTAGTCACCCAGAAGACACAATTAACTCAAACCAAAACCTTTTAATGAAGTAACATAATGATAAGTATCAATAAAGCATTTTCTTCCTAAACCTGAGGTATGCTCTCCAACCGATACAGACACCATCAGTGGGAAGAGCAGTCATGTATAAGCAATGCTTGTGGCAAGAGTGCATGTACGGAGAGTTACACACAGAGGTAAAGTGAGGCCGGGGTAAATACATAGAGAGACAATTCATTCCTCCACTGTCTTACAGCTGTCAGTATTTTCTGGTGATGCTACCTCCTTGTTCCTTCTAGGCATGCTTCCTGCTAGTTTTTTAGACCTGAAGTTTATATTTCTGGGATCTAAGAATAAAAGAAAGATGGCAGAGTCCTGTCCTATTATACCAGCCAACACCCAAGATCTGGCAGAGGCTACAGGCCTCCAGCAGGAAGCATGCATCCAAGGAGCAATGGGGTAACACCACCAGAAAACACTGCTATAGCCTCTGCCTGATGGTGCTCTGTCAATCTTGTATGTTGGTTGGTGGAAGAGGAAAGGGCTCTGCCATCTTTCTTTTAATCTTAGATCTCAGAAATTTAGCTTTAGCTGTCTTAGGAAGAGAGGTAGTCCCTTCTACATCTAGTCCCCAAACTAGGGAAAATTTTCTCGTTTCTGTCTCTCTCTTATAAGAAGGAGCTTTCAATTCCACAGAGTTAGTTGTGTGTGTGTCTCTTCTCTCCATAAGGAGAATCTTACATCCAGAGCTAAAGCTGTTTTGAATAATTAGCCAGCTAAGGAAAGCATGTAGGAATTTTATTATTTTTAACTTTCTTTTTTTCCTGACTTACCAGGGGTAGTATCTATGTTCTAGTCCTTTATCGCAGCTCCTATTTAATGCCTTATAGGAATCTTGTGCCTTCACACCCTTTTTGGGGGGAATGGGTAGGTTTTCATAAAGAAATTCCGTAAGAGTTATATAGCCCTGTGTTTTCCTGAAGCACCCTAACTTTCTGCATCACCCAAGTGACTGAAGAGAAATGGGAAGGCAAAAACAACTACACAAACAAAAAAAAAATCCGTGTGGGTCCCATCCTTTATTCTAAATTCTTACCTTTATTATATCTATGTGCCAGCACCAGTTATAGAACATAGAAGTGATAATACTTGCACTCCTTATTTCGCAGAGCTGTTGTGAAGCATGTTCTATAAATGTGAATTATCATTACGCACCCCTGTTGCCCTCTCTCTTCTTTTCTGGTCAGTATGAAGCAAGCTCTGTTAGCTAGATCTTTTTGGTTGGCTTGGAGCTTGATGGCGAAATTGATTTTTCTGCTTATGAACTCTGCAAGCATTAGAACCCTTGCCCATCAGGCGTCTCCAAAATCTAGGCCCTTCATCTTGCTTCCAGCTTGGCCTTTTCCCAGGTTAATCTTTTTTGTTCTGAATCTTCGTCACTGCTGGATCCATCCATACCCATCGGCAGAGCTAAGCTGACACATATACCACAGAGACACTGGAAATTAGACATGTTTTTGTGATATCTGCTACTAGCTCAACCCACTTCCCTATCTCAGACTGATGAGTCATGATCAGTGCTTGCTGGGAGTGAATTCCAAAAACCACGTGCTTTTTACAATAATAGTTTATGATCTTCTACAAGCGACAGGGCATAGCTATACAGTTACATATTCTCCATCCCCTCCTCCCCATTGCCCCCACTGCTTCCTTTGAATGGTGGTTTGAGAGACATAACCTTCTCTCTTGCCCTTCGCATCTTAAATTTTGTTATTCTTATTAACTTGCCAAGCATCAAATAACACCAACATTTCTTTATGCCAAGAAGAACTAAAAAAGAGGATTATATAGAATATATTCATCTTTGTTACATACACTATATATTTTTAAAAGTATATATTAAATGTCACCCAACAGTTCTAATACTGCTTATCTGTGCCCCTTCTGAACCTTCTTATGAACTTTTCTTTCTTCTCTTCATTTTTTGGTTTTTTGATCTCTCCTCCTCTCCCATAACTCTTCATCTATGCAAATAAAATATACAACTTCTCTCTTATAGCAAACACGTACAGTCAAGTAAGACAAATCCACAGATTGGCCTGTTCTGAAAATATAGGGTATCCCAGAAGTCTTAGCATGGTCTTAAGCTATTAAAGCTATTAATTAGTTATTAGTTAAGCTATTAAAGCTTAATGTTGAGCTTTGTTAATATTGCTTAATTGATTAATTTTAAGATGTAACATTAATATTTATAAAGCTTAACGTTAAGTTTCAGTAGCTTAAAGCTACACTGAGACTTTTGGAATGCCCTGTACATATTGCATTTTTCACTCTGAGTCCATCTCTGTCAAGAGGTGGCAAACATGATGCATCATCAGTCTTTGCAGGTCATGATCGGTCATCGCATCGGATAAGATTTTGAAATCTTTCACTGTTGTTTTCTTTGGCAATGTTGTAGTTATGACATGAATTATTCTCCTGGTTTTGTGCACTTCTTTCTGTATCCATTAATTTTCCAATTGGGATCCCAAATAGAATGGCTTTCTGGGGTCCTGGGATAGGACAAACAGAGCTATTGCAGAATACCCAGGTAGAGGGGAAAGTGCAATGGAATAGGTGTCAGTTGCATGAGTGTTTTAGAATGCTGACTGAATAAACATGGTAAGTATACGTATTAGTTCCCCTGTTAGACTATAAGCTTCCTGAGGGCAGGGACCAACATAGCACAGTCTAAAATGCTTTCCGTGAGTTGTGGCTCTGACACTTGTGAGGCTATCCTATAAAATATTCCTATATGTACATGTTGAGTATCCCAGTAGAATATAATTTCTTTGAGAGCAGGGAACTGTTTACTTTTTATTATTTTTTTGGTATCCTACCACCTGGTACATGGTAGTCATTTAATAAAAGTTTGTCATTTGATTAACTTATGTGACTCAGCAAATCCTTTCCCTTCTCAGACCCTCAGTTCCCTTACCTAGGATAATAATACCTGTACTGCTTATTCACAGGTGAGTACTTGTGAGGAAAGTGCTTTTTATAAACCTTTACAAGGCCCCATAGAATAGTGAGCAATAGTTATTATCATTATATAAGGTGCTCATTGGTCAGACATCGGAGTGCCAAGGTCATCCACTGCATCTCAGGCCGTCATCAGTCATCATGACCTTTGTCTTGCCATTGGACTTTGATGACTCTGGAGGAGAGAGTGGCTGATGACTTTGCACAACTCTGCCTCACTTAAACACAATTCACACATGAGTCAAGCCAGAACTCTGCAATGTCATGGGTCCTCTTAGAAAAGAAAGGACAAACAGCGGTAACAAATAACAATGGTTACTCTGTAGTGTTATTTAATGCGATTGAAGCTTAAAATTTCGCCAAGACTTGTGGGAAACCCTGTAGCAAGCACTCCTCACAATGCCTCCCTAAATACTCAATGAATCAATGAGCCAAATGTAAGTGACCCCCAAGAATCCTGAATCTATGCCTATCCCCTCACCTTAGAGACTTGACTAGGAATATCTTGGAGAGGGAGAAATGGATTGGAAAGCTGCCTGAGGTGGAGAATGGTTTTAATGAATGTATTTGGAGAAGCAGCAAAGTATTCAGGAAACCTGGTGAGTCATCTGCAGTGTTAAAAAGAAAAAAAAACAGAACAAGAAACCCCATGAGCAACACATGCAAAAACTCCCAAATCATGTATTTTAAGACTGAATTCTACTGTATTGGGAGCAAGCTGAAAACTGAAGTGAAATGATGGGACTGTGGAACAAAATGCCATTAGGCCAGAAAGGAATTAGATGGGAAAGTTCGATTATGTAACATAAGAACCACCATTCTGTTATTCTCATCTACCTAAACATATACACACATAGACACCAAAATTCATATTTCTTGGCCAAAGTCAGAAAGAATGCCATGGTGGAAAATACCCTATAGTAAAGACCCTAACACTGATATTGGTCAGAATTTTTAAAGAGGAATTTTTACTGTGAAAATAAAGGTAAAGCAAAACAAAATGAAAACCAATCAACCCATTAGTGTGTGAGTGCTTACTTGCATCAGGCACTGTGCTAGGGTCTGAAAATACAAGACAATAATGAAACTACCCCTGCCTTCAAAGAGCTAACATTCCATCAGGGGAAACAACATGTACATATATAAGAAGCCCGTAAGGACCATCCCACCTAGAACAGATTAGAAGAATCTGTGGTCTTAACATTTCATTCACTTGGGGGGGTCACCCAATCTCAGCATCCAGTCACTCAATAAACATTTATTTAGAGCCTACGATGGGCCAGTCATTGCACTAAGCACTAGGTGTATATAAAGGAGCCAACCCTCCCCCAAGAACAACACAAAAACTCCCCCCCTCCAAAACACAAACAAAAAAACCTTCAAGTTTACTGACTCATCGAAATATATTTTCTTTTAACTCCCCCCCCCATCTGTATTAATCTAGGGCGGAGGTTTTTGAAATTTTTTGAATTTTTTTATTTTTACTTCCAAATTCTCTCCCTCCCTCCACCTCTCTTCCACCCATTGAGAAGGCAACAAACACAATACCCATTATACATATGAAGTGATGCAAAACATATTTCCACATTAGCCATGTAGTGGGGGAAAAGAAAGAAAAAGTGAAAAAAATATGATTCGATTTGTACTCAGACTTCATCGGTTCTCTTTGGAAGTAGATAGCATTTTTCATCATGAGTCCTTTGGAACTGCAGATCATTGTATTGATCAGAGTACCTAAATCTTTCACAGATGATTATCATTACACTATTGCTGTTACTGTGTACAATGTTCTCCTGGTTCTGCTCACTTCACTTTGAATCAGTCCATATAATTCTTCCTAAGTTTTTCTGAAACCATCCCCTTCATCATTTCTTATAGCACAATAGTATTCCATCACAATCATATACCTTAACTTGTTCAGCCATTCCCCAATTGATGGGCATCCCCTCCCTTTCCAATTCTTTGTAAGGCAGAGCTTCTTAACCTGGTGACCACAGATCCCATGGATAGATTTCAGAACCTCTGCCTTAGATGGATATAGATGAAGTGGGAGGAGTGAATTAAAAGTGAGAGCTTACTAAATGCTTGTTGATTGGTTGAATAATTAATTTCTTATTCATAAACTTGGAATTGTTTTCTCATTAGGTAGTTAATTAGGTTAAGCCCATACTCCAGTTCATTAAATTTTTATTATTTGAGAAACATTCTTTCCCAATAGTAATTATTTTTATTTTCTACATTTAAATAAATATCAAAATTGTTATAATAAACAAAGACATAAATAATTATTTATAATGTTTTGACTATGGCCAATTGTTTGCCTGAGTTGTTTCAAACCCTCAATAAACAATAGTTAACTCTTCTTCATTCTCTTCATAACTTTTTTTTAATGATACCCTAGTTAAAATAGTTCCAAAAAGGACAAAGTTTCTCCTCATCTCTCTTCTATTTTTCTTCTTCAGTTTCTCACCATTGATAATAAGAAACAGTTTTTCAGGTCCTTTCTAGCTCTTTAGAGAGTTCTTATCATGAATTTCTCAGCAAGATTTCTTCCTAAAATGAGGACAGTTCTTAAGACAGTTCTCACAAGAAAGAAATCCATCTTCACCTTTCTGTCCTCTCCAGAGGGTTTACATGGATCTTGATGGTCACAGATAAAACAAACACCTTTTCCCTGATTCTCTAGTAAGAAGGGCTTCACATCAAGCCCTTTTCACATTCCGAACTCTTAATGCTGCAGTAACAACATCTGTATTATCTTAGATGCTTTCAAAACAAGAATTTTTATACATGTGTATATGTACATGTATACCTACATGCATATATAAATACAAGATAGCTACAAATTAGATACAGACTAACCTTAAATGAAAGAAAAAAATGTCATTTGCCTACTACTTTGCATAGTGCCTAAAATTCTACCTTTATAGTCATTTCTTTAGGTCTTGAAGATGTTTCTGTCTTTCAGAGTCCTCTATATTGGCGTAAAGATGGCAGTCTGTTGGGGGTGGGGTGGGCAAGGGAGTTGTACATTTTTTATTTGGGTGCCGTTTGTGAGTACAGAATATTCAAGTTGGAAAGTATCTTGGATGTCACCAATTTTCTCAGATTAAACATAAGGAAGTTGAAGCCCAGAAAAAGGAAGCTACTGGCCCAGGCAATACAAGAAGTGATAAAGCCTGGGTTTTTTGTTTTGTCTTGTTTTTTAACCACTATACATTCTGGCTTTCTTAGGAATGTAGAGGTGAGGGTCTAAAGTGAGAAAAGATGATTGATAGACTCTAAGAAGGAGTTAGGAGTCATAGAGGTAAAATGTTATCCAAGGGCCACCTACAGCATGGTATAAGCCAAGGCAGGGGTGGGGAACCTGCAGGCTCAAGGCCACATGTGGCCCTCTGGGTCCTCAAGTGCAGTCCTTTGATGGAATCTAAACTTCACAGAACAAATCCCCTTAAAAAAAGATT